TGTCAGAGAGTGAATCTGCATTTTTATCATAATCTCACAAAGCTCAAGTCAGACCGGTTTGCTTTAAATCTTGTAATTGTACAATCTAATTGAAATTAAAAATAACTGCTCATGCCACATGTATGTTCGGGACTGTGATTAAAATGCAGTGGTTGCCTCTACTTTCAAATGGCTACAGATTATCTTAATCAGTTCAGCCTGTAATAGAGCAAATAAACAGCTTGTTCGTGTAATCTTTCTCTATTCTTTCTTGTCTCCTGCTTAAAGAAAAAAATAAATAATCAACAATAAGTATCGGAATCAGCCCATTTGCCGACAATCGGAATTGGCCATGAAAATCATGATCTGTGCATCTCTATTTGTTGTAGATAGCCTACTGGTTAGTCTCCTCAAACAGTCATAACTTTGACTGACTATTAAGAGCAAGTCGAGAGCGAGTGAGTACACTTAAACTGCTGTACACAGTGTTAGTGTACCGTTATGGGGTCCAAATGTGTTTGTGTGTATTTTAATTGACAGTATATATATATATATATATATATATATATACGGGTGCTGTCCGACTCGACCGATTCTGATCGTAGTGGGGGACTCTTTGGACCAAAAAAATGCCAGGGCTGATTTTTTTATGGCATAGGACCATAAAATGTCCGTCCAATCATATTCCTCGGTCCAAGGGCTATGATAGGCTGTCCTGCCTACAAATGTATTTGCATACCTCTGTGCACCCTGTTCACGCAGACATGATCTGTCATCAGCATCAAGAAACAGTTACTTTAATGACAAACCATCAAATGTGAGCTACCACACAGAGGATTCAGAGAATGTTGATTCATGTTTTTTTACTATAGATTATAAGACCACTTCTTTTTCACTTCCAAAAACTGCACCTTCAGCAGTATTTTACTGTAAAATTGCATGCAATGTTTCATCAGATTACAGTGCTTCACCTCACAGACTAAGGGCATGTACCATTAACAATTTTTTTACAGTGCTGTTTACTGTAGCATTTTTACAGCGAGACTAACTAGAAGCATCAGACAGTCTTACACTGTAGCTCCTCCAGGGCTTTGAGAAGGAGAAGTTGTTAAAGCAGTGAGGCGTCACAGTAAGCAACAATCATGCACTTTCACTCAGCGTGGGCCATAGTGCTCCACTCATATTTGGCTTTTTAATAATGAAACGCTTTTTTGGAAAGGCGAGATGAAAAATTGATGCAGAAATCTGAAGATATGCCATGAAATCAAGCTCAGCGCTCTCACTGACACTGCTGGGGTCACACTCACTCTCCTTAAGCTCAATAATTCAGCAGCCAGAGCCGGCAGATACTAGTAAACCTAGAAGTGTGAGACACTTTAACTTACTACGGGTCAGGCTGAAGAGTAGCAGCTGACGTTTCATTCATTTTTGGCACTGATGTGAAGACAGTTCACATGTGCCTCATCGTCAGGAGCCTCTGAAATAACAAGCCAGAAGACCTTGGGTCACAGCCAGAAGGGGCCAATTATAATTGATGGAATCGCTTTGATTTACTGTTCCATTCATATCCATTTGTGTCATGCTCCATATATCACAATTTCCAATGCAAATGATCCGCTTACACATCACTTTGATTAATGACAACACGCCAGTGGCATCAGGGCCGTTTTGACGCCATGCTTTCAGTGACATCTGCTGTGCTTCACCAGCTACTGCATCTCTGGAGCATTACGTCATGAGAATTAGGCCAAATATTGTCCTATCCTAACAAACCATACATCAGAAGATTCTGATCCGCTGTTTAGCAGCTTCTAGGCTTTTATCAGCATCAGGACAGACCTCAGCGATCAAAATAGGGTCCCCGTATTTTTATAGTCTTTTTTGTATGATCCCGGTGTGAGAAACCACCGCAAACGATTCAGTGCGTGAGTGAACTGTCTGAATGAATGAATCAAACTGAACTGTGAACTCAGACAACACGGCAAACACATGATTACTAAAATGGGACTGAATAATTTACATATGTGTCCCTGCAGCACAAAAGCAGTGTTAAGTCGCTGGGGTATATTTGTAGCAATAGCCAACAATACATTGTATGGGTCAAAATTATACATTTTTCTTTTATGCCAAAAATCTTTAGGATATTAAGTAAAGATCATGTTCCATGAAGATATTTTGTAAATTTCCTACCGTAAATATATCAAAACTTAATTATTGATTAGTAATATGCATTGCTAAGAACTTAATTTGGACAACTTTAAAGATGATTTTCTCAATATTTAGATTTTTTTGCACCCTCAGATTCCAGATTTTCAAATAGTTGTATCTCAGCCAAATATTGTCCTATCCTAACAAACCATACATCAATGGAAAGATTATTTATTCAGCTTTCAGATGATGCATAAATCTCAATTTTGAAAAATTTACCCTTATGACTGGTTTTGTGCTCCAGGGTCACAAATTGTTTTGAAGACCAATCTGGTCTTTGTAGAAGAATTTGTGATTATGGGCAATTTTGTTTTTAGACAGTTTAAAGGATCATGACTCTACACAGGACAAGCTGATTGATTGATTGATTGATTGATTGATTGATTGATTGCCTTTGGGGATCAAGAAAATCTATGAACATCATATAAATATTAGGCTGTTAAAAACTATGGTTGTGTAAAAGGGAAATAATCATAAAACCATCTCATTTAAAGGATCATGACTCTACCCAGGACAAGCTGATTGATTGATTGATTGATTGATTGATTGATTGCCTTTGGGGATCAAGAAAATCTATGAACATCATATAAATATTAGGCTGTTAAAAACTATGGTTGTGTAAAAGGGAAATAATCATAAAACCATCTCAATATTTTCCATCTCAGAGTGGCATCATTTCTACCACACTATAAAGTGTCCTTTGTGTAACGTAGAGAAGAGTAGAGTATACCTGAGATGAAACATTGGACATATTAATACAATTTAAAAAATATTTTTTTGTGAACATTTTATGTATCATTTACAATATCAAGCTGTTATTGTCAAAGTATGAACATAATATTTAACTGTATTTGGAATATTTTCTACAAGACCAAGCAATTTCACTTATTTCACATTGTGCCACAGTCACTGGCATACGTTCAAGAGTTCACATTTGTGTGAACTACTCCTTTAAAACAACACTCAAAGATAATGCAATGGATCTGAGCTGTCAAATTAACACCAACGACATCAGAGCAAAAAAATTAAAGCGATAAAACCGTTACTGGCTTAAGAAGGGAAAGGAAAGTTAGAGAGTAGAATACTTTGGATTCAGCGATGTTCTTACTGCACAACAATGCGTCTCATTTATTCTTATAACAGTGTATTTCATTACCGCTCCATAATTATTTTTTTTATTACAAAACTTTTTTTTTTTGGCAGAGACAGAACAACATTTAAGTTATCGAGAAATAGAAATAAAAATAAAAAAATCATGCAAATCAGAACATAATATAGTCAGACCAAACTCAAGCCATAACAGAGACAGCAAGCTCACCCTTAAACTGTAGACGCCTATTAAAAAATTTCACAATCAAAAATGTACATTTGTATAAGTTCCACAAAAAAACAAATGCAGTGCATGATCTAAATAAGAGCAGACGACATGTACTGACAAATTAAACAAAAATAGACTAAACTGCATTAAGCAGAAAGCTATAACACATTGAATAGTTATAAAGAGCAAGTAAAAAGAAATAAATAAAAAAATGTACTGTTTTTAAAGCCAAAAACACACTGACATGACAAACGTGGGCAACAAAAGAAATCAACGTGATTTAAATGTACCTAAAACAATAGTGTAAAATCACTGTTCGTTGATACATCATCTCTTGAAGTTCACTCAAAATGAAGATTAGCTGTAACTGTGTTCACCCTCAGATCATCAAAGATCAGGATGAGTTTGTTTCTTCATCAGGTTTGGAGAAATGTAGCATTGCATCAGTGTCTCACTGCAAGTGAATGGGTGCCGACAGAATGAGGGTCCAAACAGCTGATAAAAACATCACAATAATCCACGAATCTGTTCTGATGAAGAAAAACTCATCTCGGATGACCTGAGGGTGAATGCATTTTTAGCAATTTGTAATTTTTGGGTGAACTATTCCTTTAAAAGGCCTAAAGTCGAGGCTATTTTTGTGGCACGGCATGATGTAGCTCCATCTGAAAGACACTTTGATTACAGATGCTGAGCAAAGTCATGCGTCTGAACCCCTCGACGATAACGTGCTGCATTTGTTCCAGTCTTCTCACATCACCGTTTCCATCCATGAACAGCTGACAGAAGCATCGCTCGTGAACAATAAAGGCATAAAAAAAACCCAGACTAGTGCATCTCGTGTGCAAAACTCAATTACACACAGTACTATCCTCCATTAACTGATCATTTTGGCACAAGCAAACTATGAATATGTTATTTCAATAAAAACAGTGCCAAGCAATCCGACTGTTAAACTGTTCATACCTGCCAGCTTCACAGCTCTTAAAGAAAAGCAGAGTTTATGTAACATTGCTGGAGGTGTTTTACTGTTTGCATCTTAATAAAACCATCAGCTCAACACTCAGTCTGAATCATAAGCGCCGCTCGGTGTTTGTTTAAAATATGTGACCCTGCAGCACAAAAGCAGTCTTAAGTCGCTGGGGTATATTTGTAGCAATAGCCAACAATACATTGTATGGGTCAAAATTATCCATTTTTCTTTTATGCCAAAAATCTTTAGGATATTAAGTAAAGATCATGTTCCATGAAGATATTTTGTAAATTTCCTACCGTAAATATATCAAAACTTAATTATTGATTAGTAATATGCATTGCTAAGAACTTCATTTGAACAACTTTAAAGATGATTTTCTCAATATTTAGATTTTTTTGCACCCTCAGATTCCAGATTTTCAAATAGTTGTATCTCAGCCAAATATTGTCCTATCCTAACAAACCATACATCAATGGAAAGCATATTTATTCAGCTTATTTAAATCTCAATTTCAAAAAATGTACCCTTATGACTGGTTTTGTGCTCTAGGGTCATAAATATAAAATATCATTGACATTTCTTTGCGAGATTGACTCAAAAGTGTGAATAGGATCAGTTTCTGCATTGTGACGACTCTGTGTGGTCTGACTTCAACTTTTAAAAAATGTAAAACATTCAAAACACCATAGCCATGCAAACATCGAGAAAAGCTCTGAAAGTAGTGATATGTACAGGTTTCACATAAAGCTTGGCTCCGTGGATCATTAAAATAGAAGTGCACTCTAACGCTCACATATGGCTTTCTAAGGAGTCTCTGTTATGATGTCGATCACTTCCTTGGCACGGTGTTTAAAAACGACTTGAAAGCACACAGACAGACTGTTGATCCTGTTGAGAGACTTCAGTAAATGCTGAATTTGTTGCGCGGTCCGTGATGCTTCTGTAATGCGTTCTCTCAGTCGGACAGTTTGGGCTCCTCGTGGGGCTTCACAGACTGGCGATTCTGCGTCTCTGAATGGGAAGCGGATGAGGAAGAGGAGGATGAGGAGGAGGAGGAGGAGGAGCTGCGTCTGGTCTCCACACCAGTACTGGACATCTTCATCTTGCGGCGTTTCGCTAGCGGTGCATTGTCGACGCTTTTGAGGAAAAACCCCTCGCGCTTCCCCCGGTTAAATGCCTGTGCGAATGAACAGAAAACATGATGCAAAGCATTCCTACGGGATTTTGAACAGAATGCAGATTACACAACAGATGATCTTTTGGTCAGCGATTGTCTGATTTTAGATGAGTTGCTCATCATTCGGGGCTCAATCGAAGGAAATATGGCATGAACTACAGCCGTAACTGAATCAAAAATCAATAATATTCAGATTAAAGATCATTTTTTTCAACCAAAAAACAAAGATGAGCTCATTAACTAGTTTACTTGGACCAGCTGACTCCACTGAATCACAACCTGTAAGTATGATTAATAATTGATGTTCATATTTTCTATCGAGCGCTCAAGATACGCAACTATGGCAGTCGGTGTATCATTTCTGACACGCGCTGTATACAGTAGACCAATCACAACAGACCGGGCCATCTGACCAATCAGAGCAGAGCAGGCTGACGGAAAGGAGGGGTTTAGAGAGACTGAATCTCAGACTGATTCGAACGAATCGTTTGGGAATCGCTGAAAAATATTATATTATTAATAATATTATAATATAAGATATTAAACGCATATTTTGAGAAAACTAAAGCGTTTTTTGACCTTGCATGCATGTGAACCTATTGTAGGAGCCTCCCAAAACAATATTAGGAAGCTTAAAAATGTCATAATGGGGCACTTTATGTGATTGTGTCTTCTCAGAAGACTTGAATCAAACCACTCGACTCGTACGGATCACTTTTAATGAACCTTTTAAACTGGCAAAGTCTTGGGCGAATGGACTGTCAGAGGAGGGACAGAAATCTCTCAGGTTTCATTAAAAATATCTTCATTTGTGACCCTGCAGCACAAAAGCAGTCTTAAGTCGCTGGGGTATATTTGTATTTAAGTACACAGTCTTGTTTTTTATTTTTTTAATTAATTAATATATTCAAATATGTCGTGCTTTGAATTAAACGTTTTAATATTGTGAATTCTGAATTGATTGCATCATCTAATGCGAGCATCTGAGCGAGAAGCATTTATCAGCAACGTGTTTTATATTTTATTCCAGGTAAGATGTAGATGAACTGACTCATCTAATACGATGGGGAAGGAAAGAATGTGCCAACATCAACCATCATCATTTCTGTTATTATTTCCATCTGGTACTGCTAGTGTGTAATAACTCATGTCTGTGCTTTTATTCCACATGCACTTGCAAGAATTTGACTTGGGTGCATCAGTACTCAATACAGTGTCAAATGCAGATACTGGACCTTGTAGGTGGCATTGACATAGGTCCTGACGGTGGGGCCGGTGGACTCCAGGACATCAGGGGTGCATAGAGGGGTGGAGGACATGACACCACCGCCCTGAAGCCAGGCGTTCTCCTTCAGAGCCGAGAGCTTCAGCCGGCGCTCAGGATCTACGGTTAACAGACCTGTGAAGATGAAGAGAGAGATGGAAGCTGCCAGTATCAGCATCCTTCAGCCACTAAAGCAGCGTCCTCAGGGACCTCCCACCAGAGCACTGAACCTCATCCATCTCAATCCAGATGACAGCTATAATAACAAGCACTCGTGCTGAAATCAGACTGAATGCGTTCGAGTGCCAGCGAGTCAGGAATCACTCATCGGGCGCTTTGGAGTGGTATAAAACTATTACGACGTACTTCACAGCTGTTCACAGGTCGTAATCAATAGAGACTCCAAGTCTTGGGTAAATTTCACAGCTCTCCGAGCTCTAAACCCATAGAGATCACAATTCAGTTACGACGGACCATCACCAACTATTTCACAGAAGATTTCATAAACTGGCAGATCCTGGGCTTTTCTGATCGAATCCTCAGTTGGACTCTAATCTTAAATCTGATTTAAATGACACACATTTAAGCTACCCAAATGGATTTTCTGTATATGGAAGGATAATATCCAATCATAGGAACTGCCTATTAATTTTGGAGTACTGGGACGAAAAAAATACAAAATAAAAAAATAAATATATATATAGAAAGGAATCATGGAATGTATCAAAGAACCGCATTTTCCAGAATACAAGTCGCATTTTTGATCCTCTGCGCCTTATATTCCAAAGCGCACAGTAATATGCATGCACACACACAACATATAAATCCTTGCACTGCTGACTTCACATCGCAGCCTATTTATCATCAAACCAAAATGCAGTCATCCAAAATAAGTTGCATAATTTGTTTGCGCATATGAAGACTGCTGTTTTTATGTGGACATTTGAATGTGTGCCGAATGAGAGGTACGTGAGCACATCAGTTTGGATTCTCTTCTCCAAGCATCTTATCTAATTTTCTAGGATTTAATAGCACACACACACACACACACACACTCACTCACTCTCTCACACACACACACTCTCTCACACTCTCTC